GACTTTATGTTTTGAGGAAATTCATTCCGTGCTTTAATATAAACATAGAAGAAAGACCTCTGGCCGTTAACAGTTTTTAAAAGTTGGTAATATCAGTTGTCCTTTTGTAACAGATCTAGTTGAATGACCACTTCCAGAATTTGATTTGGTCAGCAATGCACAGAGAGTTCCATAATTGGCACCTTGGAAGATCTGAAAATATAAATTAATACCACTATACAAAACATAATTCTGAAAAGTCAAGCTCAGTGTATATAAAACTGACTGAGTTGTAGCATTTTTTTGCCTTTTTTATTTAATTGTGTCCATAAGCTAATCAGTTGTTAAGTTATGCTTTAGGGCAGGGCCCTGCAACCTGCGGCTCTGGGGCCACATGTGGCCCTTTGAAAATGTGACCAAACATAACAGAAATTTTGCTTGTTTTTATACCCACAACAAAAATCAGTTTATATGCAAATATGTGTTCAATACTACTAATGCAAATAGTAGAACATGTTAGCTCATGCTAGCGTGTTGTTTACTTAAAGATTCCAACTTCTTTCTATGATCTTTCTCTCAAATCCATCAGAATAACCTTTAAATAATTTGAAGACTACATAATAATAAGAACTGGAAAAAAGTATCCCTGAAAATTCAGTTGTACTAGTTTTTATGAAATTCGGTATAAACTATATACATTATTTTTCTTCTTTACATGAATATGGTATTTTTATTTGCCCTGATGTGTATAATAATAAATAATATATTATTAATAATAACAATATTCTTTTAGTTTTATAATGTCACCTCCACTGACCGTAAAGATTCCCAAAAATGCCTCGAAAAGGCCCACGGACCAGCAGTTGATAATCACAGTTGTAGCTTGTTTTGCGTCTCTGGCCACATTTTATTAGTGAGACAAGGAGCAGAAATGGCTCATTTGAATGTAAAGGTTGCAGAGCCCTGCTTTAGGGGGATAAGCATCCAGAGGTATTTCAACTGGATTCCACTCAATGACCAAACAGTCCTCCTTCCTTCCTTCCTTCCTTCCTTCATTTTTTTTTTCAGATAGGAATTTATGGGGATTTCTTTTTTGCCTTTTGTAGACATTTTTCAGACTTCTATTTTTCAAGTGAAAAACCTTAAACAAACGATACAAAACACTGAAGGGCTTCTTAAACATTTTGGGTCTGGGGACCCCTTACAGGACACCCTCAAAAACCTCGTGCTGAATAAAAATTATTTACTACAATTTTAACCTTTAAATGTCATGAGAATGTTTTTGTTCAAAACCCATTTTATTGGATGCAGCTAAAATCTAATAAGCAAATAATACAAACTGATTGAGAAATAAATAAGTTGTGCAGTTTTATTGGATTAAAAAAAGGGCCGATTTTGGCACAGACCAGATCAGAGTATACCACTTGTGAGTCTTAAAAACACTTTGGAGTCGATGCTTTTTTTAAACAAATTTGCTCAGAATGTAGAAAACAGCTGACACTAAAATATGTTTTACTGTTTAATTATCACTGTACGTCCACAGTGTGACTTTTGATTGCTGGAAAAAATAAATAACTAAAAAAGCACACACTCACCTATCCCAATGATGGAGGATTGTTACATACTGTACCTGCCATGTGTTTATGTGYACTTTTTAAATGATACAACAGTTATTTGTTGTCATTCATCTTGTGGACCTCCAGGTTACAGCTTACAGACCCCTGAGACCTCAACAGCATTAAACTTCAAACAACTTCTGGTTATCTTCAAAAAACTTTGATTATAGCCAGAAGAACTTTGTAAAATTTTATACTACGAAATACCCCAACTATTTAATGATGCCATAAACACAAACTAAACTGAACAATTACAGATTAAATTTCTAATGAGCCAATAAGAAACACATAGTTCACATTAAACATTTAGCAAAAGCAAACAAACTGTCTTAATAATAGTTTTAAACCAAACAATGCATGACAAGAGGTACTGATCAGAAATGTTTKGGCCACGCCCTCCTTTAACTGCAGCACCATCAGAAGCAACAATGTCCAGAATTGTGTTGTTTCAAAAGTTTGTTTCCTTACCTGCTGCCTCTGGTTTGTAAAAGTCTCAGTTTTTTTACTCGTGTTTTTTTTTTTTTTTTT